CAAGCACAAACACTCCAACACTGCGTTCTGGTAAAATGAGGTTTTTGAGACAAACCGTAGTGAGAAATCTGTGTTGGGCTTTCATACCAGAACCTTTCGAGCTCTCAGAGTTCTGCTCGTGTCGCTGGAACTCACAACGTCGTGAGCACCACTGGAACATCTGCCAACCCTGGAAGGAGCCAAACAGATGCTCTTCTACTAAAGCACGGCTACAATGCATTTGTAATTACATCATAAGCCCCATGTGACCAAGACACACACCACCCCCCACCCACCCACACACACACACACACACACACACACACACCTGACAGCTGAAATAAGAGGGATTTACTTCCAGCTGAATTGGTGATTCCTGGTGATCTAAACTAACTGAGGAGCAATTTTCCACTTTTGCTTTGAAATGCCACAGTCATGCGCATAAGCACCCCCCCCCCCCCCCCCCACACACCCACACACACACACACACAGCCCTCCTCCTCCAACACACTCCCAATCTTCATTTGGCAAGCTCTGCCGCAACCAGCCTCTGATCTCCGCACATCAAAAGGCGGGTTTGTAAGATAAGGTAATGTTTGAAGTCTGCGCAGCTGCATTCCCCGGCGTCCAAGCAAATCCATAAATAAGATATAAGCAACCCCCCCCCCCCCCCTCCCTCCCCACTCTCTTTCTCTTCCCAACCAACCGCCTCCTCCCCTGCTGCTGTTTTTCCCTTTTTCCTCCTTTTCTTTATCTGTAAAGCAGATTCAAATGTTTCTGGGTCTTTTTAACTGACCTACAGAGAGGCAGATACTCTTGTCAAGGCCAGAGTGGGCAGGAAATGAGGCGGGGAAGTTGTATCCCTGCGGACCGGGCTTTGAAACTGCGCCGGGCAAAGCCTGCGTGACTCCCCATTGTACGTTTACAGCTGCTGCATCCATGTACAGCCCTGGACATCAGCGCCTCGGCCCGAACGTATCTTTAGCTCAGTCGTGTTTGATGCGTCCGCCTCGCTGACATCACCCTTCACCGCCCCGACTCAGACAGGGACGGACTTTGGACCGGAACTTTTCTTCTTTATGTCCCCAAACCCGGATGACCCGAGTACCTTCAAGCGATGACTTCACAGCACCTTGTCCCTCGAAGGACACGTGATTAGTGATCCTTTAAGAGTACGAGGCCGACGGCACGTACGCAGATAAGACTGGAAGCACACGTGGACAGAGCGGCACATCAGACTGCTCCGGCTCCACGGGGAGTCCCGGGAAGGAAACCCACGGGCGGGAGTCGGACAACCAGACTCATTTAGAAAGAGAACTTTGATTTTAATTACGTTTAAGATACTAACACTGTTTTACGGTGATACTTGTAAGGATACTCCTTAAATAGGCCTCAGATTAGCAAGCCTCTGAATATAAAATATATTAGGGGCCCCACAAAATCACTTAGAGAACCACAAATTGCCCCGGGCCACACTTTGGACACACCGCATTTACAGTTTTAGAAGATTTTTGCACAACTAAATAAATAGAAAAAGAAAAACTCGAACATCCCAACAGTCCAGCTGTCTCCAACTGGAGTGACACAGATCTTTGAAAAGGAAAACAACAAGTCAGCTGCACGTTGGAAACTTCTGCAAGATCCAGATCTGAAGCTAAAACCGAGAAGCTCGGATCGATTCAGCCGTAAACAATCAAACTCCATTTCTGCTGAGTCAGACTGAACATGGCAGCGGCGAGTCAGATTATAAACTAAAACTTCAGACTGGAAATTAGAAACGGCGTGACTCGTTTATAAAGCTGCCTCCACCCGTCTGTCATCCTCTGAACTAAACCATCAGCCCTCTGAAGGCAGGTGATGAGGTTCACTTACACGTCAGACATGGCGTCGTCCGTCAGCGCGTCGCTGGACACCTCGCTGTCGTTGGTGCTGCTGGCGGGGGCGAACGAGCCCACGTGGCAGGGGGCGAGGGAGTCTCCTCTCTTGTATGATCTGTTGCAGCAACAACAGGCGGGTTAATAACGAAGCAGCGCCGTGAAATAACGCCATCAGCCGTAGAGGAGCTCATTTCGCTCATATCTGGAGTCTGAGGTGAGTTTTCTGCTGTTGCAGATGGAAAAGGATGAAACTTGTTGGATGTGACCAACAGGAAGCGTGATGGATACAGCCTCTCTGCATGCCCCTCACACACTCCCCGCTGTGTTTGCATCTCTGCCATGGTGCATGAGGTGGAAAGGGAGGGATGGTGTAACCCCCAACACACACGTTTGTGTGTGTCAGAGGAGGAAAGAAGGGGGAGAAAGGGAGGAGGGAGAACCAGCATGACTAAAGCTGCAGGGCCCCCAGCTCCAGCCTGACCTTCAGAGGAGCTCACAGTCAGGTATTTAACACAGCTGGCCTTGCATTCTTACCTCCCTGCACCCCCCCCCACCCATCCTCTCTCTCTTCTCTCCCTTTCATTCTTAGCTGCAGCCATCCTCTCTCTCTCTCTCCCTCTCCGTCCTTCCTTTCCCTCCAGAAGCATGCCTCCTGGTTCCCCATCCCGTAGTTTTCAAAAGGAAGAAAAGATAAAAGTAGGGGGGGGGGGCAAACAAGAAGAGAGGAAAGCAGATTGTGAGAGGGAGTGTTGACTCTGTACTGTAGCTGCTGATGATCTGTTTGTTTTTAAGAGAAGAGGAGAGAAAAGGAGGAGAACTCGGTCATGATGAAGTGAAATACAAGGGATCGTCTTCCAGCTTGGCTCTGAAGCGCCATCATTTAGCAGCTCTACAGGATTTCATCAGTTAGACTCATATTTTGCACCAACATGCAGATTTGTTTAAATGGAAGTTGTGAGTGTGCACTTCGAAGAGCGGCTGCAGATCTGTCCCCCCAGTCGGAGGCTTGACAGCGCCGCGGTGCAAGAGGGAGACATAGCGCAGCAATGTCATCATCTATTATTTGCTGGCTGGGGCCGGAGCCAGACCAGCTCTGTGAACTTTTCCTCTGGAAGACGATCCCTCATTCTGCGAAACCATTTCAAAGCTCCGGAAATCCAGGCGAGCGCCAGCAGAGGGCTGCTGCTGGAGAGGGGAGAGAGGGGCAGAGAGAGAGAGAAAGGAGGAGGAGATGCAGAGTTTCTGCAAACTCTGGAGAAAATGAACCCAATCGCACCATGATCTCTGCACCACAACATGGAAGCAGTAAAAGAAAATGCACTGCAGACATACCTGTATCCCCTCTCCATCATCTCCACGGCCCTCGGGGACATGGGAGCCCTGTGGCCCTTCAGTCCAACCAGAGCTTTGGCTTTGAAGTCACAACTCCACTCCTCCTCCTCGTTGAGCGTGGGCAAGTAAGCACACACAACCTTCAGGCTGCCCAGAGATCCCGAGCCGTGGTTCGGGCTCTCCCCCCCTGTCCTCACGTACTCCAGGTAAATGTCAGAGGTCAGAAACATCTGGTACGCCTTCTCCTCCATGTTGGTCTGGATCTCCGTCTGCGCCTGGTCAAACATGGCAGAGTCGATGTGCTGCTTCTTGATGCTATCCCGGATGAAGGTCTTGGTGGGCGGCTTCAGCTGCTTGGCCACCACGCTGTTGTTTTCGATGTAGCGCTTGTAGATGGCTTTGGCGACCCTCTGCGTTTTGGTGTCCTTCAGATCCATCTGCCTGAAGCCGTTGCAGGCGAACCAGAAGTCCAGCGCGTCCACGCATTTCTCCCGCTCCAGGAAGGTCCTGAACAGGAGCGCGCCGTCCTGGTCCCCGAGGAGCGAGTGCAGAGACTTGGTCCACCGGGACAGTGGCGAGTCCGGGGAGGCGCTGCCCTCCGGCTCCTCGGTCCTCCTCGCTGAGGACTCCGGAGAGCCGAGCAGGACGGGTTTGGGAGGGTCGAGGGGCTTCATCAGTTTGCAGGAGTAGCTGGGCGCATCGCCCTCCTCCCCGGGCACCGGGGGTCGAGGGGCATCTTCGCGGAAACTACTGGAGATCTGGTCCATAAGCGCCCGGCTCATGTCTCTGAAAGGCAGCAGGAGGAGAGAGAGAGAGAGGAGCCCGTGTGCTGATCACCTCCTCTTTCTGAGCTTCTACTGTAATCTCCTCACTCTCTTATGTCAGCGGAGGGGGCTTCTCTCCGGGCTGCCCGTCTTCTCTCTCTGAAACACAAAGTATTGATCTAATCACAACCAGATCCGCCCCAACTTCAAAGAGACAGCCAGACCCTCTGAATTTAACAGCGCGCGAGAGAAACGCTGCGGCTGCGTTACATAAACCGCAGGACGCGAACAGATCACCCATCCCGCTGATCCGCCTCAGCACCAGGACCCGATCCGAGTCCCCGCCACCCCGCCGGGATGCGGGATCGGCGTCCGGGAGTCGGAAAACGGGATCAAAACAGTGAATGGAGTTGCAGCTGGTGCTGTTCGGTGTGCAACTGGTGAAAACACTCCACTGTGGCTGGAAATGCCACTTTTTAATCAATAACACGGTTCCAGCGCCCTGAAAACATCAGGGGAAATGCTCGTGTGGGATAAAAGTGGCCTAATGTGAACATAACAGACCTATTACAGCGCTGACTTTCAGCGAGTCATTTAAAATTCCTTTAAAAGCGAAAAAAACACCAGCAGTGTTTGAACATCCAGTTCCAAGTGCACCCAAGTCTCAGATCTGGTGGGGGAGGCATGGCTCAACAAGAAGTGAGTATTTTTAAGTGTGTTTTATGTAAAAAAACTAACTTTAGAACCAAACAGGAGCGAACGGAGAATGAAGAGAGTGCCAGAAAGACCGCGCGCTGCGTCTTTTAGCCTTCAAACGCAAGAAAAGGGGTTTATTTCCCCCAGAACGTGACTTCAAAGGCGAGTCAACCACACATCAAAGAGAACTCCTCCAACGGGGGCGAGTTTGAGGAGGCTCGGAGTCTTCCAACTTACCATCGATCCACGAGTTTGTTCCTCCAATCTAACTCCCGGTGGTTATTTATCCACAAAAAGCGCGTGTAATCCACCTCTCTGGTCCCCAAAACGCGTCCAAATGCAATCAGTTCGGGTTGGAGTGGGAAAAATGCACACGAGGGGGAAAATCTCGCTTATCTCCCCCTTCCCTTTCCTCCTCCCCGTGCGTTTCAGGCTACCATGCCGCCACAGCAGGTCTCTCCTGTAGGCGACTCCAACACCAACTGAAGCGCGAGGCTGGAGCTGCTCACTTCAAAGTGACGAGCCGACTGCCTGGTCCTGACAGCTGCATAACAAACAACTCTCCCAGAATAACAATAATAATGCAAAACAGCCAAAATAGAGCCAGGGATTCGAGGATACGTCGCAGTCACACGTGATGACGCGTGTTTTAAACGCAGTTGGATTTATTTTATGAATTTTAAGCGTTTACGCCGCGTTGTGTTCATTTTTTTTTTCCCAGATCAAGAAGTTGCAGCTCCAGTGTGAGGACCTTATCAAAGACGGGCAATCTTCAGCCAACTCCCTGAGGGCTTGGAGCGTCTGCCGCCCCAACAGCAGCATTATATCGTTACAGTCCGTTGCCACATGTACTTTAAAGGCTCTTTTCTCAAAAGACCACATTGTTGTTGTTTTTTAGATCAACCCACTGGAGTCCTGGGGCGCTCACAGCTTAAGGAGATATTTCGGATATTTTGAGGGTTTTTTTTGTGTGAAAAAGTTTAAAGTAATTACTAACTTACTCGTTGTAGAAAACATCACGAACAGCCTCTGTTCATAGAAATAGATGTTAGAACAGAAGGACTGATGAGATAGTCCAACCATGACCAAAGTGCATTGCTGCCATCTTAAAACGGTTTAAATCTACTCAGATTCATAGTAGTTCGTGCAAGTATTTTATAAAATTTTGCATCAGATTTTGCTAGCCTGACCAGCCATGACAATTCTTATGAGTTTCCGACCGGGAGGTCCGGCTTTGAGGGGGTTTCGTTTGATTTTTCCTACTTGGAAGTCGGGATTTCCGAGCTCCGAGGTCAAATCGAACGCACCATAAAAATCATCTTTGACTTCTGCTAAAAAAAAACTTCAGCGTCATGTGATACAATCATCATTTCTGCCTTTTTTTCTGATTGGTTATTTTTGATCTGGCTAGTCCCGCCCCCATGGTGCTCTCTGCCTCTGGTTATCCGGACTCGTCTTCTGTGTAGAAAAGACAGAGGTCGAGTCTGGCAGGCCAAGCTATGACTTTGCATCGCAAAACAAAGCTTGCTAGCAAAGTTGAGCCTGGCACTTCCACGGACCATGTCCAGCAGGAATTTCTTCATATTTCTACTAAACTAACCAACCATGATGTGAAAGTTAAATAGGTATGAATGTTTTAACATTTATGTGCATTTATAAAACATGTCAATCTGAGTTGTTTTAAGAGGGCAGCAGTTTCATTTGGATGTTTGGAACAAAATCTGAGAATAAAAACAGAATCAGAAGCTAAAAGAAAGCATCTCGGCCTAGGTCGGGTGTGGACAGCCCACCCCGATGTGCCTTCTCAAGAATGCAGATGTGGGTGAGGACATGGACATGTCCTACTAAAGTGGTGCCAATAAGTCCTCAGTGTCATTCCTAACTGGCATTATTTAATAAACAGAAGAGGGCTCAGTTGCTTTTGGAGATGCTGACATGAAGCACACAGCTTCCTCTCACTGAGCAGTGGTGCTGCCGTGGGCTCCTCCATTCAAGAGCTCTCACGGCAGAAGGTCAGTCGTCATGCTGCTGCAGCTCTGACAGTTCCAAGCTGCAGTTAGAGAAGATGTTTACCCCACTGTATCCAGATTTCTAATAAATCGTGCATGCAGGAAGCCACAGCTGGCTGATTTTACCTGTGCCAATCAGAGGTTCCCACTAGGTAGGTGTGAGAGTGACATAACTCCATCCAGCCAACCAGACTAAAGGTGGCTGTGTTGAGTCGGTTCAGCACGAAACGAAGCGTGGGGCAAAACAAAACAAAAGCAGTGGACTCCGTACAAACAACACCAATGTAAATGCAATGACCCCACCCGGCTCAGACCGAGCCGGCCATAGTGTAAAGGGGCCGCTAGTGACTGGCTCCTGAGCGGGCTGAAGCTCCGCCCACTCCATATAAATGAAAGGGATTTTTGGGACAAAAATAATAAAATAAGTCCCAGACTTTTTCAGGTGTTGCCTTCTGTTATGTCACATAAAATCTACTTTGATGTTTTACACTCACGTATTTATTCCCTTATGAATAAGAAATGCTGTAATTTTGTGCAGTGCAGTAGGCAAGCCTTAGAGCCCCACGTCCCACGCGAGCCCACTCTGGTTAACAGGGTATTATAGCTTCACTTTCTTCAATCCTGGTGGAAAAAGGTCCATCGGTCTGTCTTATGATGGCAGCAACGCTCATTGTGCTGGGCTTAGCTCAGACTAGCCATTAGCTCATCTATCCTGAATTATTAAACTATTTCTACAGAAGCTATCAACAAAAGGTAACATGATAACTTACACAGAATTACACTTCAAAATGGCCGAATAGCAATGACATTTGTCACATTAAAGGTAAAAAGTCCAGAATAAAGACAAATCTGTAAGTTTTAATCCCCATAAGAAAAAAAAGTAGAGCTCAGACCCTGATGCAAAACTCAGATTTGTCAAAGAACCATCTCCATCATTCTTGAAACAATAAATAAAACAAATGCCTTTTGCTTCACATTCCACCCATTTCAGGTGAAACCGTTTTGATTGCTCTGCAGCTTCTACCAGTGGCAGCATGGGTAAGTGCATACACAACAGATGAAACAGCAAATGACCTGCCCCTCTTCACACCTGACTGTGCAGATTTGTGCATGTTCCTCAGCTGCAGGAACTGAGACATCCCTAAATATGCATCTATTTCCAGAGTGGACACAGAGCAGTGGACTGTGGCTTTAGTTATCAGAGTTAATGTTTACTGAGAGTTCTGGATAGGCCTTTAATGCTCAAAAGAGCCTCCACAGGGGAGCCTTTGTTCAAGATGACTGGCTGTGTTCCTGAAAGTGGCTCTGTGGGTGTTTATGTGCTCTTTTAGTCTCAGTGGACAAATCCAAAAAGTACAATACAAAGGCAGCAAACACTCTGAACAGCTAAAGGTGCAGCCAAACTTTCTCCCTTGATGCATCTCTTCCTATCAAAGTTAATAAAAGAGAAATGTCCTCTTGAAGAGGCCGTGATGACGCAGGGATTACTCATCATTCAAAGGACACTTTGTCACCTTCAACTTGTGTTCGCTCACATCCTGAACAGAAACACGTCCCTAACATCAAACTCACTGTCCCAGCTAAAGAGCCACAGCTGGTGGCGTCTGAGCCCCAGCAGGTCTGCTGCTCCTCCAGGGTACAGAGAGAAACTCCTCTGATTACATAAAAACACAAACCCTTACTTACGGTTAGGATAAAAGCAGGAGCACGAATTAACGGCGACTGAAAACTTGTAAGTGTGATACTGACGAGGCAACGACAGTAACAGCTCATCAAAGCTTGGAGCATTTTCCTTATGTCTCATTGTCAAGAATCCAAGCTTTTCTCGTGATCTTGATCAAAATTTTGTTTCCTTTAGACTTTGGCTGCTTTTTCACACGTGTTGTCTCTATCTGACCATCACAATTGTGCAGTGTTAAAAAAATGCAAAAAGTGGCCTAGTGGAGGACAAAAGAAGACGTGTCACGTTTAAAAAAAACTACAGAGCAAGTCACCCCCTATCTGAGTCTTAGTCCACTCCCACTTCCTGTTTAAAAATGCAACAAATGCGAGAGGGCGGAGTTGCCAACAAACACACAAAAACACAGGCTCGTAACGACATTGTGACATCATAATGTACCAGCTAACATCATAGTGTACCTTTTAGCCAATAGCGATGACAGATTTAAATAAAAATGCAGTGCAGAGTTTTCACCTGGACACTGACAGTTTTAGGCAGAATATTTAAATATTAGATGCACTAAAGTACCAAATTATTGACATGTCTTCAACATGATTAGACATTCATTTACTTTATCAGTAGAAAAAAGTAGATTTGGGGGTGACTTGCTCTTTAAAGGCTGTGCTTGAATGTTATGTCTTTATGAAAAAAGAAAAAAGTCCACAAAAGATGTGAAGCTAGGCCTGAGAGATGCATCGCCCTTTAGTGTACCTAATAGCTCCTAGAGAATCACGTCATTGACATTTGCTAGGTTTTCTGTAGTATTGACACACCCCTGGTTCACCTTTGAGTTTAGGAGCTGTTTTATCCCTGAATCATTCATAAGTCAGAGTCAGGTGGCATTAAAAACCCTCTGAAATTGGTCTGGCGCTGGGAAGAAAATGAGTGAAGGAAAAAAGTTCAGAGAAAACTCTTGCAAAACCTTCAGAAAGCCTGAAAACTATTGATCAAGACCACATCAAGAAAGTCTGGATGCTTAGAAGCAAAAATATGAAGATAGGAGGTGAAGCAACAACTTACATTGTGACTCAAAGTGATGTAACCCTCTCAGGCTCAAAGTAAGTTTTGATAAAAGGACGAACAACTAAGTCCTTCAGGGGTTCTTCTGAGTTAAAAAATAATCATTAAATACTTATGCGGAATAACCAGGTAGGGTTTAACGTTGATAATCTGCAACGCCTGCCTCCAGGGGGTTAAAAAAACAGTTTAACAGTGGATGGATATTAATGGTCATGATTGCAGGAGTGGTGAGTAAGACTAGAAACTAGTCAGCTCCAGGTTAAACGCTGCATGCACAGGTGAGGTCTCTGCATACAGGTCATCTGGCTAATATTCAGAGCGCTCCCCTGACAGTGTCAGTCTTTGTTAACTTTGGAGGGCCCCGCCTGACCTCTGACAGTAAACACACCAGGGTGGAAACCATCTCCATGGTGATGGTAGGAACCCCTGCCAGTACCTGGGGCCAGTTGGACCCTCATGTCCTGCCTTGTCAACTCCCTCCATCGTTCATGGGAGGTCCCTAAAGGTCTGTGGCCCCTCAGGAGCTGACCTCAGGTCTGCGACTGGCCTGGGACCAGGGGTGTCCTTGGTTTCTTGCCCCATAAAACAGACCTTTGAAAGAGGTCTTTGAGGGGAGAGGTTATGAGATGTAACTGTCTCTCTTTATGGGGAGATATTATTACAGGGACAGGTCAGACTCTGACGAACTACAAAGGGGAGTATAAACAGAGACAGAAGGGAACATAAATCACTCACAAGTTTAATCACTTTGTGTTGGTTTCAATGTGGACCATACACAAAGTTCCCGCAGCATCCAAACCCATATGTGACTGAAAAGACCTCTGGTCCGACAACTTTAGAGGAACGGAGAGGTTTCATGACCGGTTGCTTGGGTAGCCTTGTCCTGCTGCAACTGCTGCCGTCCACCTCAGTCGTAACCATAAACACTGACACGGTCGGCGTGTCTGCCGGTGCCGTCCTCTGTGCTGCAGCCCTGTGATCAGTAACTGCTCTCAATTACAGTATTGTGTGCCGTTCCTTTCGGCTTGGGGTTAAACTCTTTGCAGACCCCTTTGAAGTGCTCATCCCTTTATCTGGAGCCAGAGCCAAGAATTTGGGGGAGGACAATGGAAAATGAAACCAAGAGGGAAAGCTTATGGCAATTATCAACCAGGGCCACGAGGAGGAAGTCAGCATGTACACAGAGGAGATAAAGTGTTAGGAGGACAGTCTGGGTTACTGTTTCATGTTTGTTTGGTGTGTATACACCTCGGGCGACAATCGACTGCTGAACGAGAGGAAATGGAGGCTACCTCTTCAAAGTAGGTGACAACAGCGGGGACAATGGCCTCTGAAGGGAGCAAGGAGCAAATGAGAGGAGTTGCAGGAGTGGTGGTGACAGTGCATGGGGTCAACATAAGTAAGGGTGAAAGAAGTGGTGGCACAAGCAGAATACGAGGAGGAGAAGGATGAAGGAGAACAGAAGGAGAAGCGCTGTTGTCAGCAGAATCAATCGGCATGCAGCGAGCTGGGGAAGATACAATTAAAGTGTGGAGTTAAGACAGTCTTTGAAGTTGGACATGGTGCATAATACCCTTAAAAGTTAAGGAAGGGCAACAATTCGCGAGTGTTATGGGGCTGTTTTGAAAAGGGAAGGAAAGAGGAGGGAAAAAGAGCGAGTGGTGGGGGGTTTGTTTTTGAAAGGGTTCAGTTTGAGGGGAATGAAGTTTGGATTTCAAGCACCAATTGGCCCCAGAAGGATGTTTCCTTTCTTCTTTGCTAAACAGAAAATAGTAAGAGCATGTGGGAGCCCGTGCCTACCTGCAAATTCGGATAATGGAGGATGAGTGTGCGAAAGATGGAAAAAGGAGAGATAGACGCATCAAAGAGAGTGGAATTGGAAGTGAGACAGGTGAATGAGAAGAGACTGGGAATGAGACATAAATAAAGGTAAGAAATTGGTTGGGAAGTAAGGCAGAGAGGAAATAAAAGACAGAGGGAAAGACGGGGTGGGGGGGTGGTTGGAGGTTATTTATTGGTTTTCCCTCGTTTTAATCCCATTTTGCGCTTGACTTTTAAGTCTACCAATGTATAGAAACAATGTCGGATGCTCTGTCTAATCCCGTTTGGGCCATGAAGCTCACTCCACACAGACAGTAATGACTTTTATTTCCTCTGCTGCTCGCACCAAGCACACCCTTCACAGGACAGACGCCCCAGTTCTGCCATGCTTGACAGGACAGCAATTTGTCTCTGAATCAGTCCAAACCTGGACTCCTTCACTCATCCTTACTCTGTCACTTCAACCCCCCATCAGCCCTCTTCCTGACTGGAGCACAAGGGTCCCCCACTGGAAAGGTGATTAACTTGCTTGTCCATTCATCAGTTGCCAGATTTTATCGCTTTCTTTGCTTCCTGTTACCCCCATTAAAGGGGTGTGACATGGAGGGGGGCACCATGGAAACAAGCATGCTCCAAGGAAGGTCCCATGGGAAACTGTAGACGTTTAAATCTATTAAACAAACAGAAATGTAAAATAAGATGTTGAACAAAACCAAAGGTTGGCATTAACCCCCCGCCCCCCCCCCCCCCACACACACACACTGTTACAGCCTCTGTGGATCTAAAGCTTCAGATCCAGTTTAGTAACTTTGCTTGTGTCCATCTGTAAACATCACCAGATCTCAAAGGTCATCATGCCTATTCTTACAATCTTATGCTAAAATGACCTCCAAGCACATTCACGAGCTAGTTCAGAAAGTCAGACAGGGAGGGAAGAAATCCAAAGACTAACAGCAGTTGGGTTTTCTATCCAGTGTCCATAAATAAAAGTTAATGCAAAAGAAAAAAAAAAACTAAATGCACCATCTAAACTATTTTAGAAATGTTACAAAATCATATTTGTATTTTTCAAACGACATTAACTCAATGAGTTACTGAAACCAGTGAAATGTTTCAAAATGTGTCAAAGGACTGGGAAACCATTTTTCAGAGACACTTATTAACTTTTTCATATTTTTAAATCATTTTCCTGAGCCAGTATGCGCTAAACTTACCCTTAACATGGTCAATGAAAGGCCACCCAGTCCGTATCGCCCCCCCGTGGCCAGAATATTTCACTTGTAACTTCAGAATGCCGGTCAAGTCTGTTGGACCTAGAAAAAATGGAGCTGACATACCTGGCGCTGCAGTCTGCTTCCAACACGTTACCTAAAGGTTTTAGATCGTGAACACAGCTGATCTGTTTAATTTAGTGATGAATCACTCCTGTAGACACTAATGAAGGCTGAGGAGACGTTCCAGCTGTTAGATTAAGGTGTTAAAAAGACAAACGCACAGCGAGGAGATGTGTTTTGCTTTTGGTTCTACCGATGGACACTAGGGGGTGCTAAAGGCAAGCAAACTGTCTCCTTTTTAATAGTTTGAGAAAATCTAATTTATCAATATGAATGACCATTCAGGCCAAGTTCACTTGTTTTTTTTAACACATTTGCAGTGGTTTCTAGTATAAATTAATGCCTTGTGAGTTGATCTCTGTGGGGAAAAAAAGCTCTGGTGTTCCTGTTTCAGGAAGTAGAAGTGAGTCGGAGTAGAGGGGAATAGAAGACGTTGGGATTTGGAATCATATTTTTTGATATTCACACATCTCGCCTCCAATTGGCTAAAAGCAATGCAACTCCACCACTGACTCAGTTTGTTTATCTCCACATACCGGTATATCACAAACCCAAAGGAGTTCTGCCATGTGGTGGAGTTGCTAATGCTAACGGTTAGCTTCAGTGTGACGTAGATCTGACTGGCTTTGGTAATCGGAGTGTTGCCCCGGCTATATTTGATAGGATGCTAATGCAGGAAAAAGCCTGCATGTTAAACTCAAGAGTGACTGATCGTGTTTAAAAAATAACAGTTTCTCCGTCATTTTCTCAATTTGGAAACGCCTATTTAATATCTTCTACTTAGACCTTTTTGTTATTTTTATAGGCACTTTATATGACTTTAATTTAATTTTTTTTAATTGTCTTTCTTGTTTTAGGATATTTGACATCATTTTTATTGAATTGAAATGTTTGTAACTTTGTTTCTGTTAATTGCAGTCGACTAATCTGTAACAGCTAGATATGTTTTTTCTTTTAAATCAAACCAAATACAAGTTTGGGTCCCGGGAGGTTTTAAAGATGACCACCCCAGTTACCTGGTTAGAACTTGACCCATCTTACAGATATTGAGCTATAATTTGGTAAGCAGCCAAGACTTATTTAAACATATTCTCAAATGCTAACAGCACGGTTCCTTTTATTTTGTTTCCACAGTCCTGCATGTGTTGCAACAAAAAGGCTGAATGAAGAGGAAATTGGTAGCTAAACCGAACAGCTGGTCTGTCACCAAAAACATTTGATGCGTTTTGGGTCAAAACAATCCAGCTTTGAAAACTCAGTCTCTTAGAGCTAGACTGTCAAAGCCGCTGACTTCTTAGTGGTCAAGGAAGGACCCGACCTATGTAGGACAGGCCCTTACAAAGGATGCTACCCCTGAATTTAGACATAGCCTGTATGTGATGAGTGGGCCGAGAGGTGAAGGTGAACTACCTCAGCAGCAATGGGTTGAATGTCTACAGCTTTATGTTCATTACAGCAAATGTCACAATCGTCTGCTTAAAATGGTCAGATCAGATGGAGAAAGATGAACATCAAGTGTGGATACCCACACAGACTAACCTCCCACACTGTCTTGAACGCTTATGTCCCTCTGTTCAGCCCACACTATCAGATGGCACAATCACAGAAACACGACCTGCTGTGCCTTCTTCAGTAGCCTCTAACCCACTTGTCCTCACACACATCCTTTCACAGCCCCTGCTGTGTTTGAGTGACAAGACTGGCACAAAAAAAATCACAAATATCATGTCAAACAAAAACGACACAAGCCAGGAGAAAGAGGAACGGGGAAAGGAAGACAGAACAAACAGCATGGGAATCGAGGGCGTTGCGTGTGTGAAGTGTTGGTGATAAACAGGTTTATTTATGCAAGCCGTGTTGCTGCAGCGAGGGTCTGACTCAGAATGCAGCTCTATAAAAAGACCCAGCATGCTCACGCAAATGATGACTTTGTCAATCACACGTTGATGTACAGTCAGGCCCAGAAGCTTGTCGGGAGAGCCAAGTGCACGTCACGTGATCGTACGAGCAGCTAATGCCCTCAAATCAGTAAGC